TATACGTAGCTGCGTCCACCACACCTTCAGCTGCTTGTTGTAGTAGCGTTCTGCGATAGTGTCCAAGCAAGTCAGCTTTGACATCCTTGGACCATGCAAAGCCTCACGCGTGCTGGGCCATCGTTACCTGTCGGGAGAACGTTCTCTCCACTTAAGGCAGAGACGAGCCCATGGTGGAGCTCGCTCCGTCGAACTTCCTTATCACCAATCTTGCTGACGCGCGTCCGGTACTCGATGCGCAGGACCCATCGCATGCTGCTCTTGCTGCGGCGTCTGCTGCACTAGGAAGTGCTGTCATAGTTCCAGTGACACGTACTGCGGACAGAGCGGTCCGAGGTGCACTGCTTCTGCCAAGGAAGCTGCTTGTAGCCTCAGTGACGAGTCCCCAACATCAAGTTTAGGCGCACATCCACATTCTATGCCTGGTTTAAGCTTTCTTCATTTCTTTTGCTGATAGCAGCCTGGCTTGTGTATTTTAATGATCATTGGAAGCGCAACCTGTAACCCAATTTCTCCATCTAGCTTTTTAAACCAAATGTCTCTCTAAGGCCAATGGATGCAGCCACATATACCAGTTTAGCGGTCGATAACGCCAATGTAGTTTGTTTTTTGCAATGATATCCCACAATCATTCCATTTATTCGAACCATTCCGCCACTTATGTACTTTCTGTCTTGCGTATACTCAGCAAATAATCAGCATCAGCTTACCATTCGATGCGTAGCCGTAAGTTGGGTCCACCTTCTTAATTCATAGCTATTTGAGATCATCACTTCCATCCAAGTCACGCACAATACGTTTCGCTAGCTTCAAATCTTCAATATTTGGTGCGTGTGCACGTCGAAAAGCATGGTTGACATCACAAGATATGTCCGGTCTCGTGCCGCGAGCAATCCACAGCAAAGTTCCAAGCAGAGACTGAAATGTTTAATAGTCGGGCGCACAGCAGTACTTTCTTGGTGCGGCGTTGCATGCTGTTGATGATGAGATTGTTTGACACTTGCTGCGTGTTGGTAAGCGCAAAAGGTTGTCGCTTGCTGATTTCATCCTTTGATTCGTGGTCGATACCGGGAGGAAGAGAATATGGCCTTTAGCCGCTGGGCACACTGCTGCGAGTGCGCGACAGTCACGTGATGCAATGCGAAAATGAAAACTTCTCTATTTTACTTACAATTTTATGGCCAAATATGGACGCTACGAATCTTGATTTGATGGTGACAAGTTTGTCTCGAACGTATGGTTGCTGCGTGGGGCCATTATGAGATAATGGGCGAACCAGATAGACACCATATGTAGCTGGATATGGCCATGCTGTAGTGCCGTTGAAAATGCATGTTAGAAAGTAAGAGTAAAGTTTATATGAATGACTTGTACAATAACGCGTGTCAGACGTGTTTTGGCCCCCGCCGGGGCCTCGTCGGTGGCTTTGCTAATTTACAAGTGAGAACCACTTGATCATCTTCCTATCTAAGATCTACTGTGTCCATAAAAGCATCTAGAAGCCTCTACAACATTCCATATATCCTAGCGTAGGTTAAAGCTCTGGAGTCAATACCAAGTGTAACTTGCACTTTCCAACACTCCCCCCTCGACAATATGAGATGAAGCCCGCTTTAACATGCATCTATCCGTGCTGTATTGCCTTCAATGCAGGTTTTTCCTTGAGATTTTCCACCTGTGCTCCGGCCAGCGTCTGTGCTGCCTTGCTTGTCAGGTATCCCAGCTACCCCTCCTTTGTGACTGCTACGCATAGCACCACTAAAGTTGCTTTTGGGGCTTGCCATCTGCGCAGGTATCCCGGCTCCCCCATTTTCCAGCACCATGTCACGTCGCATTTATGTACCTTCGCCATCACAGTCAGCACCACGCTATCCGTGCGTGACAGCTTGATTTCCTCGCCGTCTGTCAGGTGGCGCTCGTGCTTATAGTCTTACACATCCAGTAGGGTAGACGCGTTTTTTTACTAGGTGCAGCTAAAACCACTGTCCAGAATCCAGTCGTCGCCTTCTTCGTCGCTGTTTTCGCTAATCGACAGTGTCAGGTCACACTTGTAACGACGCGAACCCTTTTTTGGCTAGCGCCTTCGACTATTGCGAGCACAGTGCTGCCGCCACTCTTGCCGCGACGGCCGCCGTTTGTTTCGCCAGTATTCTTTCTGCGACAGTCGTCTTTGACGTGTCCTGTCGATCCACATTAATAGCAGGCGCGCGTCTCCTTGCGCGACATAGAATCATCCACGTGCGTGACGACTTCTTTTCCAAGAGAGCGTCCAGTTCGGGCTTCCATCTCAATTTCCTGCGCGTAATGTGAGAGCTCTTCGGCGTGCACTAGATAGTCGAAACAATACGTCTTTTACTTCTTCAGCAGTATCGTCGATTGCTCGTTCGATGCATGCCGCACGATGTTATCGAGCACCTGCTGCTCAGCGCTGCCAGCCGCATCGCTGACTCCAACAAGGAAAAGGTAGTGCTCCGGCTAGGACCGCTTACCGTCCTTCTTCATGATGAAAAGTTTCATTGATTGAGCAGTGACAGTCGTCTTGAATGTGTAAAGCATACGCTGCAATACGTACTGTAGAGTCGGCAGCACAGCTCATCCATCATGTGTAGACCTTCTTGCTGAACATAGCTTCCTATGGTAACGGACAAGTACTGGCAAGGACATCAGTCTTGACATTTTCGGTTCACAAAAATCCGCACGACTTTTGTGCCATGTCTACTTGTCGCCAAAAAGTCTTACCCCAGTCGAAAAAAACCGAGCCCAAGTCCGACGTACACTTCGTTTCGTGGAACTTTCGGATCGCACGCTTATGCTGCCTTGCGTCGGGTGTACGATACTAGGTTGACGAAGGAACTTGCATCGGCGCATCTTGCGGCGCGTGATACTGTTGCATCGGCTGGTACTAAGCAATGGAAGAGGCGGCTGTGAAAGTTTCTGTGCGCGCTGCGGCGCAGGTTGCTGTTGCCTTGGCCTGGAGCCATCAATATAATTCATTTATTAGGATTAGGAACTTGGTGGCTTCGCAAGTTTGACCAGCCTAGCACGTCACGATGCAGCTTACCCGCGAAGTCTGAGCCAAGAATCAAGCTAAACATCTTGCTGTAGACACAGCCACGCATACGTTCGTCTTGGTCCATCCCTGGCCTGGTACAGCTAAATCTTCTTCATGCGCTCGTCCATTCCACTCAGCATCTCGAGAACCTTCTACATCACGTCTGTCTCTGCTGTCCTTGCGTGAGCGTGCGGGGGGATGACCACAACAGGTTTCGACGCAGCCCTTTCGTGACTGGCTTTCGGCGATGCCTGTGCCGTATTGTTATAATCGGCTGCCTCTGTCGATGAGCTCATAACCTGTTGAAAAGTAAGAATAAAGTTAACATGAATGACTCGTAAAGTAACGCGTGCCAGACGCGTGGCACGCGTTAGTATTCGAGCCATTCATGTTGCTTTATTTTACTTTCTAACAGGTTATGAGCCCACCAGGCTTGGTTTGGTAACTGCGTTGTAGGCTGGGATGTGCGCCAGGGCTGATCGTGCATGACGTCGCGAAAGGTATCGTCGAGTATTTTACATCAAATCCCTTGAGCGCACGGCGACACGCAGCTGCTCTTTACGTTCGCGAAAGGGTGACCAAGCTCTGCAACAGATAGGGGAGTCAAGTAAAGTGGTGAATGTGTCAAGAGGAAGGGAACTACGGACAAGCTCAACGACGACTGCAAGATGTCAAGACGTGACATGGTGCTGGACAATGGGGGAGCCGGGATACCTGCAGATGACAAGCCTCAAAAGCAACTTTAGTGATGCTATGCGTAGCAGTCACAAAGGAGGGGTAGCTGGGATACTTGACAAGCAAGGCAGCACAGACGCTGGCCGGAGCACAGGTGGAAAATCTCAAGGAAAAACCTGCATTGAAGGCAATACAGCACGGATAGATGCATGCTAAAGCGGGCTTCATCTCATATTGTCGAGGGCGGGAGTGTTGGAAGTGCAAGTTACACTTGGTATTGACTCCAGAGCTTCAATCTACGCTAGGATATATGGAATGTTGTAGAGGCTTCTAGATGCTTTTATGGACACAGTAGATCTTAGATAGGAAGATGATCAAGGTTCTCACTTGTAAATTAGCAAAGCCACCGACGAGGCCCCGGCGGGGGCCGAAACACGTCTGACACGCGTTATTGTACAAGTCATTCATATAAACTTTATTCTTACTTTTTAATGATGCATGCTGCAGTATTTACAAACAGCAGTAGTAGTTAACGCTAGTCCATTTCACGTTTAAATTTACCTTTGTTGCATCAAGTACAAAACGTCTACTTTCTACATTTACACATTGTCTGATCTATTGAAATCGTGTCGTTAGCCGTCTCTTGCAATTTTTTGTGTCCAGGTGCAAATCTTCTTCCAGCCACGTTAAGCACAAGCACCAGTAGAAATAGCAGTAGATGTAGGTCTAAACTTTATAAAAATCGTGACAATTCTTTTTGTATAATTTTTAATGAGATGTTTCAATTTGGCACTTTAACCAATCAGATTATTCAATAACATTTGGAGTGGGGCTGGTAAGCTAAAAGGGTTGGGGATAAATAGCGCCTCCTTTAAATAATAATTTCACAATCTGAGAAAAATGAAGTGACTAATTCAAGTTGTAAATCGAGACAAAAGCGATACATTAGATCAACGATAAATGATGGCGTTGTCACGGATTGCAAATTATAATCGTAAATACTGGCGCTAATATAATAGCCGTAAAAACTGACACTAAAAGAAAATTTCCACGAAGGATGTTACTAAAAGCAGCTTTCAATTCAATAATTCCTGTACGCTTCGTGCCTTTTTCCAGGAGCCAAAAGGTGCCCGCTGCCAATCATAACAATCACAAGGAACAGGAACCGCCTCGTTTTTAATCGTTCTCTTGACCATCCTCGGAGAGAACTTCGGGATAAAGCAGCCAGTATGCAATCGATTCCCTCTACCAACAAGTCATTGTCTGATGACCTCTAGTCCTTGTACTTCATGTCTTCTTCACTGAAGCCAATGGTAGGAAACTGCCGCACAAACGCAGTCACATTGCGTTTCAGCGCCTCCACTTTCTCCATCGCCTCAGCGTCTTTTGCAACAAACTCCTTAAAGTCCTTCACCTTCTTCATGCCCTGTGCACGAGCACGCTCATTCAGCTCAGCCGTGAGCTTGACACCTTCATCAAGGAAGGCAGCCACTTGATGGAAATCCTCTTCCGTGCATCCACGCGTGGTCAACGCAGGGGCACCAAGACGAATTCCACCAGGCACAAACGCACTCTTGTCACCAGGCACCGTGTTCTTGTTCACCACCATATTGGCACTCTCAAGCACAAACTCGACACGAGCGCCATCAATGCCACGCGACTTCTTCACATCTACGAGAGCCAAATGGTTGTCCGTGCCATTTGATATCACCTCGTAGCCACGCTTCATCAATTCAGCCACCATGGCACGAGCATTCGCAATCACTTGCGACTGGTACGACTTAAACTCAGAACTCTGTGCCTGGAGCAAGGCCGTGCTCAAAGCAGCAATTGTGTGGTTATGCGGTCCACCCTGGAGACCAGGAAACACGGCAAAGTCAATCTTCTGCTGCAGGTCGTACATGACTTCTTTACCACTTTTCTTGTCCGTGTGGCGTACACCCTTCCGATAGAAAATCATAGCTCCACGGGGTCCACGCAGTGACTTGTGAGTTGTCGTAGTCACCACGTCCGCGTACTTGAACGGCGAGGGTACAACACCAGCTGCTACCAGTCCACTAATATGAGCCATGTCACCAAGCAACACAGCGTCCTGCTGGTCACAGATCTCACGCATACGCGCGTAATCAATATGACGCGAGTACGCACTAGTGCCTGCAACAATAAGCTTCGGTCGAAATAGTGCCGCTGTCTTCTCCAGTCCATCGTAATCAATAAGACCCGTGCTCTCGTCTAGACGATAGGGCATGCTCTCAAAGAAAATGGACGTCGCCGAAATCTTCTTCCGACCAAGTTGATAACCATGGGACAAATGACCGCCATGTGGCAAATCCAATGCCATAATACGGTCATGTGGCTCTAGTAGAGCCGTATAGACTTGAAAATTAGCAGGTGAGCCAGATAATGACTGGACATTGACTCCCCATTCTTCCGGATCAAGGTTAAAAGCTTCCAGGGCTCGAGCACGACAGAGTTCTTCTGCTTGGTCAATAAACTGGTTCCCACCATAATAGCGTTGGCCTGGGTATCCTTCCGAGTATTTGTTTGACATTATAGAGCCCAGTGCGTCCAGTACTGACACTGAAGTAAAGTTTTCCGACGCAATAAGGCTGATGCAGTTGCGTTGGCGTTGTTTCTCACGCTCAATAATGTCAAATAGTGCAGGATCTGATAGTGACAATGACTTGTTCATAGTAGTGGACCACTTGAGACTTTCAGTCGAAGCATTACGACGCGATAGAAGCACACGACGGACAGGAACACGAAGGGGACCAAACATCTTCTTACTGGAACGAAGCAAATACAAGAATGACACGTTATGATAAGTAAAACATATTCATTAATTCTTAGAGTGTGATTGACGTAGATACGAGGAATAACGGATATATAGAGTGGAAGAATAATTAGATTCTAGCGGATATTCGATTAGACATTCACCAAGCTTCCACGCCAGTCGAAATGTTTGGATGCCTCCAGTCCATCACAAGATTACGCTGATGAAGGTTATAGTCAGTTTTCTGGTTCTATTCGACCATTGCCTTCTAGTTCCTTCACTCAACGTCGTCCCTTTTAATGATCCACACATCGATACGATCGGTAGAAAACTCGGGATGTAAATTTGTCACTGGTACACGCGTCGTAACGAAATTGTAGCGCTTCAATTCACTGACTAGCACTTGGTCGGACACAATGCTGCGCTTCTGATACGACATGAGAATCTCAGTCTTTACAGCTGAATGACGTAGCAATAGGTCAACAGTTGCCACGAGTGGTGGAATAAGTTCCTCAATCCATACAACGTCCGAGGCCAATATAAAGTCAATGTCTCCCAAGTTTATGGGTGGATCAAACCAGTTCAATACACGAGTAGAGACGTCACAGTCAACGGGTCGATTAGCATTAGCTGCTAGCTTCATTGTCTCTGCCACGTTGTTCGCAAGATTGTCAATCACATAGTCAAGATCAGAAAGAATCACCTCTTGTGCTCCAAGCAACGCAGCAGCGATCCCTACAAGTCCAGTCCCAGCCCCCAATTCTACAATTTTTTTGCCAGCAATATCATCACGACGTTGATATTCCAGATACTTGGCTAGTACCACCGATCCATCCCACGTTGTTAGCCCTGTGCCTTTGCCGGCATTCCCCACTTCTTCAATATGTACCACTCTTCCATCAATAATAATCTTGTCATTTGTAGCCGCCGCATTGAAGCCAAAGATTCTCGATGGGAGTGCTAGACACGTGTGATCTTGGAATAGTTCGGACGTGTTTGTGAAAATCACACTCAATCGTGAACGACGTCTTAGTTGTGATAGCTCCTTGAGTGGTGTAAATCGTTGTAATTTCTGGTCATGAATCTCAATTTTAATGTCAAGTTTAGTGGCTGGAGTCTCGAAATATTGTGTCAAGTGTTGCTGAATAATGTCCTGCAGTTCAATTAATGAAACGGGACCATGTGTCAATCGTAGTGTCATTGGACCATGTAATTGCTCGAATTGTCTAAATTGTTGCTGGAATTCCACACGCAACGTCAATGGTGGAGATGATAATGTCATTGCTGGAGACATGACGAGCGATGAGAGTAACGACAAGATACACAGCATTAGTCAAAACTGATGTATTGTATGTGTGCCTTACACACACCCGTGACACACTAAATAACACCATTTCTAAGTAATATTTCTTAGAACTAGCACGGTTCTAATTATAGAAAATAGTACTACGATAGAACTAGCACGGTGCTAATTCTAGAAAATATTACTATGAACAAGTGGCATGAAGCTCAGTACTATCAGCATGAGAGCTATAAGTGACATGAAGCGCGGAGTAGATGCACCTGTGGTGTGCTATGCAAGAATAAGACAGTACACTCCTGGACCTGGCGTGTTGCAAATGCAGTACACGACTTTCCCACTGTTGTCGCAAAACTACGTATCGTTTGAAATTACCACTCAGCGCATTGACTCCACCACATTAAAATTTAGTCACTGCCTATGGACAGCGACTTCTGTTAGCTTCCTGTCCAGTTCATACCACCTATCAACCTCTAGGTCCACATGACAAACGGACAGGTCACAATGCTGTTTCGATCGACGCTCACCAAGACGTCTCTCTATAAACCTGCAAACTTTGCCCAACCCGGTGCGCTTTCACACAGCGCACGAATCAATGCGTGTCGTTTCTCCGAATCCTGCAGTAGACGCGCAAGGTCCGGCACGAGACGTCCAACGAAGTCGGGGTCGAAGGAATCAATTAAATATTGGTAAAACTCGTGCGCCGTGATCTGCTCGTTCCCGTACTTTCGAGTATGTGACGTAAATGACTTCATCTTCTTCACATCACCACCGAACGCCACGAGGACTGCTTCTAGGATAGACTTGTGCAATAGCTGTGCTTCTTCTCCGACAACGGGTTCAACGTCTTTGATTGGAACAACCTTGTTGCGTCTGCGGCCTGCCGAAGAGGACCCCGCTCTCTCACGCCCTTCAGATGGCGGAGACACGAGTGAGTTGCGCTGTTGTTTCTTCGACTCTTTTTCTTTCTTCAGAGCCTCTTTGAAGCGTGCAAATGCCTCCAGCAACGCACTCTGCTTTTCCTCATCGGATAATAGCTTGGCACTGTTCGGGATAATTTTACTTGCACATTTTGACCCAACACACTGCCGCACTTGGTCACAAAACGCGTCAGCTGTTAATTCGTCCATGCCAAATTTCCGTGACATGTCCTTGAACTGCTCAATCACCGCATCTTCGTTGCCAGGCGAATGCTTCGCAGCCCAGGTAGTGATGACGGACATGATATCGGCATAAATACCCCTGGTCTCCTGCGACTTTTCTTGTCGGTCCTCTTCTTGTCGTTGGCGTTCCTCAGCTTCACACTTTAGTCGCTCAGCCTTTTCGGCTTCAGCAGCAACGCGCGCAGCTGCAGCCTCTTCGTAGATAGCTTGATATTCCTTCGTTTGATTTTGGCGGTAGGCCTTCTTGAACTCGGTCACAAATTCGTATAGAATAGTGAAAAACTCCATCGGACCGAGTTTCCTGGGGTCCTCGCCAAAAGAGCTCACAAGCTCTTCATAAGACGTCTTCAGACCAGTGAAGTCACGCCCCAGCTCCTCCAGCACCTCCTCCGCGTCTTTCGCAAACGGAGTCATCACCTCGTAAAATTTGTCACCCTCAATATGATCACTCTTAGAAGCACGCACTTGACCCTTCAACATCGCTAGTTCGGCGTTGTAGGAGGACAAGTCGGCCCGCAATTGATCAAGTGACAACCTTTTAGCCTCCACAATATGTGGAACTTCTCCGGCAAACGTAATGACGTCCGGGGTCTTCTCTTCCAGCTGATGTAATAGGAAGTGCATCAAAGTGATTCGAGGATCAACTGACTTCAGTGTGTGCAGCTTCATAAGGGTATCCAACTTGAAGCCGTAAGCACCACCACGAGGCGTGCCACCATTCAAGTAGTTGCCGATCGCCAAAATGTGCTCCAGGACACGGCGAAACTTGTCGCTCTCGGTCACTTGGTCCGTAGCAGCAACCAGTGTATCCATCTGCGCCTGTGTTTCCAGAATACGATTCTCAAACTGTAACTTGTATCTAAAGCACTTAATTCGCTGAGTGTAGCGCGGGATGGTCAAAAGATCAAGGAAGAATTTTTCCACATTTCCGAGCAGCTTTGCATCCCCGTCGTAATTCTTGAGCATGTCAATTTCTTCCAGCGTAGGTGAAATAGAAATCAGCACATTCACCACCTCAGACCCAAGCTTCTGGCCATCCAAAGCGTATATGGCTTCTTTAATGTCCTTCGATGACATTTTGAATCGAGCAATCGCGATTGCCACATTTTGCTGCCTCTTCGGGTCGAAAAGGAGTACTTCTTTCGGATGGACTGGTACCTTTTCAGCTTCCTTCCTCTTTTCATCCTGCTTTTTTGATACCTCTACCGGGTTTTTGCGAAACATCCACTCCATTTCCTCTACGTCCAGCTTGGCACGCGAATCGTTCAGCTTCATCCACACGGTGCTACTTACCACGTTGACAGGCACACGAGTCCAAAAGAGCGGGCGTAATTCGACGTTTGGCTTCACAGTGTCCTTCTTTGGAAGCTGAGACTCCTCACTTTGCTCGGGTGTTGTCGGTTTACCCAGCTTTACAGTCAAGCTCGCTTCTAGTACCGAGGGATCTACCTTTACCGCCTCCGCTGGAGGAGGAAGACCAGCAAGAAGGCCGCCACCACCGCCGCTACTACCTGCTTCCTTCTGGTTAGGTGACGGTGCATCAGGCGTGTCGAGCAAGTCTGCATTTACGCCTGCGGCACTCATCTTCATTTTTACTTGCTCGGCCGACATCCCCATTTTCAACAACTTGAAGAATTTCTCGTAGCCTGGGTCTTCCTTCACCGTCATCACCTGGTTGGATGTCGCTGCTAGTGTTGCCGCAACACCAGATCCCGGCATTAGTGCATCCGGCGTGTCAAGAAGGTCCGGATTCAGACCACTTGAGGTCATTTTCAGCTTGATTTGCTCAGAAGGCATTCCCATCTTCAGAAGCTTGAAAAATTTAGCGTATTGCTCGTCTTCCTTCACGAAGTTGCCACTCGACGTCATAGGCACAGCTGTCACATTATTTGTACTTGAAACAGCACCACCAATGATTACATCTGGTTCATCAAGAATCGACGGGTCGACGCCTGACGCTTGCATCTTTATCTTCACCTGTTCAGCAGGCAGTCCCATTGTCAATAACTTGAAAAACTTCGAATAGTCTGGGTGATCTTTAGCTGCAATACCCGTTCCATTGCTATTAGGTGCCTTCTCCACTACCTCAGTCGATGCAGCCTGAGAAGCCGGTTCCAATGCTCTTTGTTTGTTTGTTTGTGCTTCCACAGCAGCCGTAGCAGCAGCCGTAGCAGCAGCGGCAGCAGCAGCAGTGGCCTCCGATACTGCACGTGCGTGTTCCTCCTCTCTTTCCAGCCGTCGACATTCTGATTCCGATATCCTGTGCTTAAACTTCGCAACACGATTGCGTAGCTTTTCATTCTCAGCCTGCAATTGCGCCACAAGTTCCTCAACCTCTTTTGTGTTTGCTGCTGCTTCTTCATCTGCTTCTGGAGTCGCTTCAACAATGTCTCTCGCAATATCCACCACCATAACTTCCTCTTCCTCTTCCACAGGTGCGTCATCTTCTGATCCGTCCGTCTGATCCATTGGTGATCCATTTGATTCATCAATAACCACAAGATTTGATCCTTGATTGCCTCGATCTACTTCTCCGACTCCGACGACATCTGATACACTCACTGGAGACATCAACTGTTGCCTCACTGATGTACCACACTCAATACAGAACTTGACTCGTGGTGGTAATTCATAGCCACATTCAATACAAAACTTAGCTGTGCTCGTTAACTGTCAATCACGTAAAAAAAATACAAAGAAAAAAGCTCGAACATTAGCAACAGTAATCACCACCAAAAAAAACAGCCGGTGTAACTTCAACTTGTCCAACCCTACTCACATTTGTGACTTGGGGCGGATTCGGTGGGACACTAAACGTCGATGACATTCGACGTTTACTCCCACTAGGTAATCTGATGCTTGTAATCTCGAGCGTTGCGTCATCATTCAAGCAGCCCATACAATACCATTGTGGTCGCATTCGCTCTGTCTTTTTACGGTCAATTGCCTTGCATCCACACTCTTTACACACGGCAATGTGACAGCAACGACAGTGATGACGACGACGCAAAATATTAAACGACTTGGAGCATACGCCACACTCGGGCTCACGTGCAAACGCGTCCTCTGGTGCCATACTGAGTCTACTGCCTAGTGACGAACGCATGCGGCATCTAGTGGGGGTTACAGCTGCAGCTGCAGCTGCGGCGGGACTTAACTCACTCGTGTTTGTGGGCGAGAATAGACCTCGACGCGTAGTCCCCTCCATGATCAGCTCCAACGATAGCTATGTGTGGCTTCTCTTATGACTTTAGACAGGCGTTTGCCTCCCTTGATGCGATCGGTTTCAACAGGTTTTGAAGGCAGGTTCGAAATGATACATGTCGCAGGATTGTGGACTTTTAAATGTTAAACGTAAGGCGAAGGACACCCATGATGACGGCAGAGAACAAAACAGATACATGTCTGAAGAGCCTGATATAACGTGATTAATTCATGGCAAATTGGCGACAAGCACAATTTGCCCCATAATAAACAAGGTAAAAATGTATTGAAATGTTAATGCCAGCAGTTCGCCCTGGGGCATAACGACGTATCATGCAGTTGTCGGAAACAGTGACTCATGTTTCTGATTACGACCTATGATCATTAAAGTCATGTTAGTTGCAACTTGACAGCAACGAGCCATGGGGATTTTGTGCTGACGTCCAGTATCAAATGGTACTTTTTTCGTAGCGACTCAGGTGGCCGTAAGCGCCTACGGGCGTATAGAGCAGTCGCCGAGAGAGGGTGTTGCAATAGGTTTGCCGCTACCAGTCAGTCAGTTGCAATAAGAAGGCCGTCTCTCTCTGTACAGTACAGAGCATAGTGTAAAGCACTCCAATTATCGTCCTAAGTGATGATTGGTGGCACTACTTCAACCCAACGCAGCCAATCATCTCAAACAAGTACCCTGTCATTTTCGCTAGCGATTCAAACAGGGTACTGAGCACCTCATAAGCACAAGGCGTTCAGTCAGATCAAAATGCTGCTCACGTTTCTCGAAAAGTTGCCATTTGGACAGAATGGCAAAGTATTTGTCGGTACATGCATTTGCTTGGCCATTTGTTCGTACCCCGTTATCCGAAAACGTACGCTCCGTTAGTCGCACTCAACCGCTTCTTCTACTATCGTATTTGTTAACACGCTTTTATTCTCGTTTGTCTCCATAGAACAAAAGGCTGGTCACGACCTCTTTTCTTCCGAGAGACCACAGGAAATCGTGGACCAGCAGATAAAGGCTCGTCGTGAGAAGCTTAACATCAAGTAGAGTTGCACGTCGTAGTTTAAACTTTGTCATTGGACTTCTTGGTAGAATGACAGACACAACTTGAGCTTTTGTTTCTCGCCTGTTCGGATACTCGAATAGCTCTGGTTAGAGCATCTTGTGCCTTGGTTCACATCATGTTGTACGATGATACTTGCACTTTAAACTGTCCAGGACCTCTCTTCAGCAAGTAGCATTCATTGCGTAGAATTTCCACGAAATCTCGAAAGTCGTCCACCTGAAGTCCCATACTATCGGCGACTTCAAGCAGATCGGTCATGGAAAATAGAGAAGTGTTGCGTCTAGCTGCAGCTTTCATAAGTCGAGCGACGTACGCCTTGACCTTTTTGGCCAGACTCATGCCTCCACTGCGGCCAAAGTCAAGGTTGCCGTCTTCAGTGACGTACGTGTCCAGCAAACACTCTTGCATGATGTCAACAACGTCTTGAGCGTGCTCGGCAGACACAGTTTCGGCGAGTTCAGCTCGGGCGCGTGCTTGTGAGAGGCGGATCAGCGACTCGAGCTGTCGTGTTGTAATGGGTATACCATCCATCGGGTTCTGCCGACCCTCACCCGCTGAACGCAGCTCCAAGTACTTCTTTTGGAGCACGGCAGCAGCTTGGGATGACAGACGTGGATGCACGTACCGGCGAGCATAAGCGATGAACTTCCGCACAAAGTAGAGAGGAATGGCGTTTGCACTGAACTCGGATGCGTTCTGACGGAGACGATGCGACAGCATTCGACGACCAGACGTTGCAGCCTCTTCGTAGCCGCTTACTGCTGGTTCGTCAACGTAGCGGCTGGAGGTTTGAAAAGGCATTGATGCATTGTTGTCTCGCATACGTTTCCTTGGTCTTCGCTTGCCGCGCGCATGCGAGTTCATCACGTACTCTGACAACAGTCGATCTCTCTTCGTCTGGTCGGTCCAACAGGATGAAAACAAGGTCGAAGCGCGACAGCAGTGCAGCTTTCATTTTCAGGTTCTCTCCCACTGAGCGACTACGGTCGTAGTGACCACCGCTAGGGTTAGCAGCAGCGACGACCGATGTCCGTGCATTCAGATTGCACACAATACCTGCTTTTGCAATGCTGATGCTTTGTTGCTCCATCGCTTCTAGCAATGCCTGGTAGTCAATTCCCATTTTATCGAACTCATCAATACAGCATACACCCTGGTCTGCAAGAACGAGTGCACCGGCTTCCAGCGCGTAATCGCCAGATCCATCTTTCACCATTGTAACAGTCAACCCCGTCGTCGTGGTCGTGTTTCCACCAACGTACACAGCTCGTGGTGCAACCATGGACACAGCCCGAAGCAATTGACTTTTACCCAGTCCTGGATCTCCAACAACAAGCACATGTGAATCCGCTCTGCGCAAACATGTAGTGTCCTTATCGTCCGAGTTCCGGGTTCCGCCCAGCAGAGCTAAAACCAGACCAGCTTTTACAATGTCATTGCGGTAAATGCCTGGACACAAGGAATGAACAAGATGGTCGAACACATTGCCCTGGTTGATGATGTTGCTGATCTGCTCCAGATCTTTCTTGGTAAAATTAATGTCCGAAGCTTTATCTTTGTCCTTGTCCACCTAGAACAAACAGCGATAGCCACTTTAGTAAGGTCAAACATCTAAACGTCAGTAGGCGGCCAAGTGCGAAGTTGCATACCTTGGCTGAGTTTTCAACTGAGTTAGCGCTGATGTACAAAATATAAAGACTGTTTGCCTGCGCACGCTTGCCGTATCTACCTTCATGAATTTCCGAGTTGATGCTCTTAACAATACCTGAGATTGTCACTACGTTACCAGGAATGCAGGAATCCACAAGGTCTTCGTACAATTCCACCTCAATCTGTGGATAAAACCATAACCTCGTTAATGGTTATACACGTCGAACCTCATCCAAGTGAAGTGTTACCATTCGTGGCATGCGGCCAGGACCAACATCTGTAGTTTCCATTTCCTGGAGCCTTTACGACAGGCAAATAATAGTGCGTACAGGTAAGTAGATGCAAGCAGTCTCCTTGTTTGTTTCCCACTCACTTGATTTTCTGGTAATCCACCGTATTTACCGACGATCGATTCGGTAGCAGCGTTCTCCCTCGGCAAGTTGCATTCTCACACGATTGTGGTGGAGTAAACTTTCCGTCTGGAAATGCTCTGGACGTAGCTTCATTGCACTTGGCACACACAAAGTCACACCTCGTGACTAGCGGCTTGATAGCACTCACTCTCACGACTGTACCGACAACACTGACAAACTGGTTCACGACATCAGCTTTTAATGCTGCAATAGGCAGCACGGGCGTCACTCCATGGAGTCGAACGGTGATCTTGGTGCGATCTACGGGCACACTTCGTTTCCGTGTGATGTCTTCTTCTTCTTCCACTCGAAGTTCATGTCGCCGCATACACAAGGCGATGCCTAAACAAAGCAATACGTCTTCGATATTCTCCGTCACAGCTCGCTCAAAGTCCTCCGTGCCGGTCCGAATGAGCTCCGAGTAGTGCAGCCACACCACCGTCACATTTGTTTGCGTCAGATCACACTGTCACATAAATATTGTTATTTAAATTAAATTTGTATTTATCCTATGACCATTTTTATGCAGATAAAAAATTGCAATAATAATTATTTCTTTACTTGAAGTAATGGCGCCCATTGCTGGCCATGTCGGAAACAATTGAGAAAAGTCATGGCAGCTTGAAAGCGGCCGTCGGTGTCACTGATTGGATTATAATATTGCATGGAGCGAGTCTCACCGGGCTGCCGAATGCCTATATTATGGTCTTCTGGGTAATACTGGTTCCACACACTCGTGGCGGTGTCTACCAAACTGCTACGATTATATGAGTCATATTGATGCATTATTCTTGAAAAGAATTTATAAAATTTAGAATATTGCTGATAAATTACGTAAGTTTTGACTAACATGATAATGTTTGCTTTGAAATATTATTTAGACGAATATAATACGCATTGTTTTTATTATCATTACTACAACTCGTTCATGGCCTGTCGTACGAATCTGGACATTGTTGAAACCACAAATGCCGGGCAGTTCCTCTCTCTCTTTTTTATCTTCACAAGTCCCTTAACATGTTGGCGCTGTTTGCCTCACAACGCACCCAGTACCTCTTTCTTCTTACAATTGTTGTTTTCACTACTTCAAGTTAATTCGTTGAAAAGCTTCCGAGAAAGCTTAGAAGTTTTCATTCACGCTGCCACTTTAGCTACTAAAAAATACTAGTAGTCCGAGTCCGAGTCATAGTGTCCAATGTACGACTGCGGTACGTATTGTTCACGATTGTTTGACTGTAGAGTGGAAGCATTTGCCCTCGAAGAAGTTTGCGCAACCCTCGGTAGCGTAGTGTTGGCTGTAGAGGCTGACGCCGAGACATTTCTCGAAACCATGCGTTGAGGTGCTTGAGATGAGACAGTTGGTGTGGACAAGCTACTTGAGCCCGAGTAAGCCGTCGTCCTTGAAGATTCCCGATGAGGAGTATCCGCCCTAGCGTGGACGCTGTCATTTGGTCGGGCTGACGTCATCAATTCACGGTCACGATCGGATCCTTCTTCCACCGCTAACCTTCCTGTCGTGGAGCTCGTTACAGTATATTCTGGCAAATCCAGCAGCTCCGTGCTGTGGAGCTCCACCAAATTTGCAATGTCACGGTTTTCACAAACCGTAATTGTGTACGAGCGACAAACTGGACATTGGTGATTCTGCTCCAGTGCTCGTTTTAACGCATCGGATGAGAAGGTTTTTCCACAACATGTAGTAATGACCGGATCCTCAAACAAATCCAACGAAATTGGGCACGTAAGCGCTGCTTCTCTGTCTATCCAATTCTGTTGGATGATCTCCCGTTGAGTAGCGAGTGCGTCATCTACTTCTTCCATAAGATTCTCTCGTTCTGCATCAAAGTCAGTCTCCATCTCTTTCAAACGCCGACTTAATTCTTCATTAGAGGATTTGACAGCACTTGTTGTCCCAGCATGAGTGTAGTTGACAGATTGTCCTTGCTCACGGTCATAAGCCTCGAGCAATTCCCGCAATTGTGGTAACACCCTCCTAAGTGACGAGCCTAATTCCCCCTGAGCACTTGAACGGACCGCTTGCTGCTCCTGTAAACGCGTTCGTTCACGGTCAAATACTGCTTTTTGATCTTGCAGCTGTTTCTTAAGTCTTTCAATAATCGATTGTTGGTTTTCATACGTTTCTTGGTCGAACCTTTCTCCCCATTCACGCGATCTCTGCTGTCTTGTAATAAACTGATTCAAACGCTTGATTGTCTCGTTCTTGCGTCGAAGAACTTGCTGTGTCTCATGTGCTGGATTGCGGTCCCGATAGTGCTGATTAAGAAGTGATCCGAGTTCAAATAGAACAGACTTGGAATCTTCCGCTAGAGTCACAAATAGCTCCTGGTCCTGCAAGTACTCGTCTCGTCGTGCTGCCATGGCGTATACTTGATTCTTTTCTATTGGTTGTCTAAGTCGCAAAGTTTACATGAAGTGCTACAATTGTTGATCAATTTGGCTATTGTGATTAAATGATTTGCCAGTCGGTCATGCCATACGGATAGTATACTCAATATATATCTCAAGTTTTTATTATATTTGTTTTTACTTGGTATAGTTTTTATTTACCCGAAAAATACAATACATATATCATTTTTCATTACAAAAACTTGTCATGGCGTTAGTCCGAGTAGTTCGTCAATAAATTTGCTAGAGCACGATAGGAAAATAATATTTGCACCCCCACTTTATGATTATTTGCACCCCCTTGCAAATAAAAGGGGGGAAGGCAGATATTGCGTAGTGCTCACTCACTAGTTGGTTAATTGAATACTAACATATATTTGGTCCTTAGGTCGCCAACAAGTGCTACATCTAAGTCACTTCTATACTAACTATACCATACTCAGCTGATAACGCACCCATAATCAACCGTCATCATGTCCGTAATCCTGCGTCTATCCAACAGGCGCCCAGCGGTGCGATAGTGTACCTTACCTTCAACATGTCCATCTTCAACACTCCTTCTCGCGATCGCATCTTACGCATCAGCTATTGCAAACCCACTTGTAAGCGCAACTTAGCGAGCTTGTGCTGGTCGACCGGGTTGGTCAATAAGTCCGCGAGCATCATTTCGGACCGAACATAGCATGGCTCTAGTATACCGCGACGAGCAAAGTCCTTAAATAAACCTGAGCCGTACATCAATATGCTTTGCCCTTGAGGACGAAGCCTCGCCTTCAATCTGGCAGATTGCAGCTTGATTGTCCACATGCATCTTCATAGAAAAGCTCGGTGGAAGTCGTAGTTTCATCAGCATCTCTCAAATTTCAAGAAGCTCGCGAGCCGTTTCGGACGCTGCTACGAACTCAGCCTCCATCGTCGAGAGCGAACTCCTCCATGCTTGTTGGCAGCTTAACTCACAGGCATACCGTTGAGCAGCAATATTGATCCGGTCAGGGACTTCCTATCGCCCTTTTCTGCAGCGAAATCTGCATCGTTGTAAAACTCCAGCGTAATCGCCAAATTATCATTGGTATTGGTACGCATCTCAAATTGCATGTTCTTGGTCCCGGCGAAGTAACGCGCAAGATTCTTCGCCAATTTTCAGTCTTGCTCCCGTGGCTCATGAGTGTGTCGCGTTGCTTTGTGAATCGCTAACGCGAGGTCCGGCCTAGTACATCTCGCGACCCACCTCAAACTTCCAACAAGAGACTGGAACGACTTGATTGTTGGTTTTCCAAATTCAACAACTTTCGTAAGCAGGATGCTGTCCGAAGTGGCTTCATTGTAACAGTCGTCGGTGATCGGCGTGAGTATCGGGTTCTCCGACGCCAATCCGTGCTTCGAAGCAGCTCATTTATTGAATCGCCTGATTTAAATCATACGCGCTCGAATCAATCGCTTTTACCTCGAATTTCAAGAAACTTCGACACCTGTCCCAGGTTTTTGATCGAAAGCGATTCCATCGCCATAAAAACAATCAACAGCTGCCGTCGTAGTCGCCGTGACTAGTAGGTCATCAACGTAGACACCCACTACGGTCACCTCGCCACCGTCTCGCTTGTAGTACAGACACATGTCACTTATGCACTGCATAAACCTTGCGTCGATGAGTCTTGTCTGAAACAGCTGACTCCAAAGTCGTCCTGCCTGTTTGAGCTCGTATAGGCTCTCTTTAATTCGAGAGTGACGTCGTTGCACTTTCCGCTCCAAGTGCCTTGAGCCGTTAGTCCTTAATCTGCATGCCGCTTGGTACGTGCAGTACTATCTCTTGATGCTCCCCCCCTTGTCATCCTTCACATACGCGTTTGTAATGTCTCCGTGTTTTGCATGGTACACCCCATGCCTATTTTTGAGTCCCAGTATCACCTCATCCTCGACATTTCCATCACGGCGGCGAAGGTAAGTGAGTAGTAGATACCGAAGACTTGCTCGTTCCCACATGCAACCAGTCGTGCCCCAGTCTCCCACCGCGCCGTTTGCATATGCTCTTGGTCATGTATGCCCACTTACTGTGTAGCAGGTTTGCATCGGCCGGTGGCTTGATCACGTTCCACACGTCGTTGTCCTCAAGCGCCTGAATTTCTTCGAGCATGGCTTTACTCCAACCTTCGTCCATCGAGCTGCTTATCGCCCTCAGCATGTGTCTTTGGTTAAACTGGCTCGTGGACTTGTAGAGCGGTGGCTAGTACT